CCTTCGTAACTTGTTACGAAGCTGCCAGAGGCGGTTGACACGTATTACGAATACCCGTCACAACCCCTACCGGTTGACCTGACCTGACCTGACCCGACCTGGTCTAAATGCTTAAAAACATCATCTCTGATCAAAACTAACACGATATTCGTGATCAGCACCCCGGAAAACCACATAGCAGCCACACTTTACGACTTTCTAACAGGTCCCGATTTTCCCGGTTTTCGGGTCATTGACCTGACCTGGAAGGTCACCCGATGACCTAGGACCTTAAAATTGGGTATCATCGGCTTCCTCTCGTGACGGGCAACACGCTCGTTTTTTCCGCGAAGCTCTAGCTCGATCAGGGGCCAAACGCGAGGGGGGTCGTACCCCCCCCCCCCCCCTTGTGCCGTCGAAGGACGCAAAATGGCCTGTGCCGGCGAGGGTTAAGGGACCTGGATCTGAATTTTAGTCCGTCGTCTTTTTTTCCACCGTCGTTTTTTTAGATGCATGCATTGTGGTATTTGGAATCTACATATGATCGGTATAAATAATTTATTGTTTAAGTCATTTTTCACTCGGTATGTTAACAATGATTAGTTAAGTAGGTACCTTCCTTAAAAAAGTCACTTCGTGTCTCTGGGTGGCTTGACCATTCATTTTATTCCAACATATTCATATATTTTCATAACACAATCATTGCAGTCACGTTACAAACTCACAGTGTCCTCAAGAATGGAGGACGAACTGAACGTTCGCTCGGCTACGGGCGGAAGTGGCAGAGCGTACAGCCGCTGGTCGATGGCCGACTCCGAGTAAAACAGCAAGTATCCGGCCGAGCTTCGCACGCTCCCCCCGCTCAGTTCGTGCACCTGATGGTCGTCGTACTTGTGCCATCTGTCCGTGTTGGGTGCGCGGCAGAAGGCTGTGTAGTGGCCACTGTCCATGGAACCGTAATGGTTCACCACACCGTACAGGTGATACCTGTGGTGCTGTTGGTGCGCATCCTTGGTAGCCAAATGCGGTGACATGTCCAGGTTTTTTAGCGGAAACAGGACGCTGGACTGATTCTTCTTCCACGCGCCGTCGTTGTAGAAGCGCTGTATGTGGATGGTCAGTACTGGTGGAAGACGCCAGATGTCAAGCCGCTTGGTGGCCCCGTCGCTGCTTTGACACTCCGGGCAAGTCCAGCCGCTGATTGTGTCGCCCTCCACAAAAAGCTGGATGCACTCGTGGAGCGAGCACTGACTGGCCCTGGCAGGCATCGGCACGGAGAGGTGTGAAAATGCCTCAAACTTCGCTGACTGGTTCCCGCAGCTGACGCAGCGCAGCGTGGACTTGTACTGGTCCCCGACCATTCATGACCAGGAGCATTTTTTTTTTCTGCGAAAAGTTCGTAAAATATGTAGGGATCGCCTATCGGTGGTGTACCGCTGCGACCTTTCGACATATTTGGGAGAACTGATAGGTGAATTCGAATCGACCTCCCTCCCTCCCCCTCCCCCGCCAAGGCGCCGGTTAATGCGGGTCTGTTGTTTGTGTGACTGTTTTGAACCAAGGATTCTGCCAGTAGAACGTGCAGTGGTGGATGGCATGTTAACGATTCCACACTGTCGAGTTAGTTGCGGTTTTGGCGGCTCACAGCGGCGCTAAAGCTGCACGTAATGATCACGTGGCCTGCACCACCTTGCCATGTAGACCGGCACGAACACTGGTTAGTGCAGAACTACGGGGTTAAATTGGGCATTACTTAACCCGGGCCCCGCTGGGGTCTGCGGAGCAACGTGCCCTGCCAGGGGGGCCAATTTGCCCCCCCCCCCCCAAGATCTCGAGAACCACGCAACATAGCGACAAGCGGCAAACGGTGTTGGATAGCCCCATCAGGGAACTACCTTAAGACTCAATTTCGTTGACCTAGGTCAAACCGATGACGTCACAGGTCAGGTCAAATATCGAATTTTCACCGTTTACACACATTTCAAGAAATGCGTTGTAAAATCGAGTAAAATGCATTTCATTGAAAATCATCGATGGGGAAATGTTCGTCAAACACATATTTTGCTATTTGAGGTCACTGATACCAGGTCAGGTCACAGAGGTCAGGTCACTGAGGGTCACAATATGAAAATATCATGTGATGCATGTTTTATGGTCCATTTGATATGCCAAATACGATTATGTGGGTCAGGCAGCCTTCGGGGTTAGTTTATATTGTTCCGGTGAAGGTCAGGTCAAGGTTAGATCAAGGTCAGGTCAAATAAGGTCAAATTTCAAAGTTGTTATTTTTGCATAAAATGGGTATCGATTCGATGCAGCTCGTCACAGGGAGTTCAATGGTGGTTTTTGTTTTGCGCTACGTGATCTAGAATTGCTAAAAATTGAGTTTAAAATATGACGTCATCAATTTTGAACAGTTTTTTCGCTATAACTTGGCCAAAAAAGGAGGTATCGATCTAGAATTTGGTATGTATATAGAAGAGCGCAGGGAATATCACATATATTCCGTTTTTTTCTAAATTCGGAAACATTTTGGGATTTTTTAGTTTTTCTAAAAAAATCTTATTTTTTTTAATTTTTGGGGCTCAAAATCCCTAAATTTTGAAAATCCTAGATAGCAGTTTTGTAGCGCTGTTTTTTGTCTACATGACCATATAAAGAACTTTGAAATTGCTTGGTAACTGTAGCTTTTGTGAGCGTTTCAAGATTTCATGTTTTTTGCTCTTTTTTGCTCGAACATGACCTTAGTTTGACCTCAATAACTCCTGACCTAAGGTGACCTAAGACTTGAAATTTGGTGTGAAGGTGTCAAATTGATGCCCGGAAAGGCACTGAAAATTTGGCGCCGCCGCATTTTTCTTGCTATTCAGGAAAAACCACGGGGGGGGGGGGTTAATAATTTTTCGGCCTGAATAAGTAAAGCTGGCCCTCTGAGGTCCTCTGTATCGCTAAGGCGCTATGGTCATGTAAAATCGTGGATTTAGATAACCAGCGTCTATGCAATAACTTTTAATATAAATTATAATATAGACAAGTGGTACAGAATAAATGCAATGCAGCATAACCCCTTCCAATGAGGAAATGACATTGCCTTAGATCAAATCCTCAACTGAGCCATTTAATGTCAAATCTTGACGAGTGAGACGAACTGCTGCTTTAAATAGGTACCTATAGTACCGCTTTCACTTAAAATATTACAGCATACACAAATGAGCCTTTGTTTGCGCTTGTTTTGCCCACTCAAGGCCAAACCAAATCGTTACCCTTAGGGAAAATCTGCGGGCACGAACGAAGTAACTTTAAGTTGCAGGATACATCCAATGTTTTCCCCTAGATTTTTAGCACAATTAGTGCGTGAGATATGAGCGAATCAAATACATTCAAGATCGTCAACGAAATGGCGGAAAATTGAATATGGATTAACTCTAACAGCTCAATCTTTTACCTGACAAAAACATGACATAAGTAGGTGCTTTATCGATTACCGCTGTCGCTATGTGGCAATGTAGGCATACATGATTATATATTACTGACCGGGCCGACGAAATTATTTGGAAACGAGGTTTGCAAAATTGACGGAGGCCAGAGTGCGGAGCACGAGGGCCGGAGTCAAATTTTGCAAGCCGAGTTTCCAAATAATTTCGTACGGCTGAGGTCAGTAAGATTTTTCCTACATGCCGCATACCTGCTAAGTAGTTTCGACAGGTTTTGGTGACACTTTTATACAATTGTTTTGTCCATAATTTCTAACAGTGATTGCGCTACTGCTGTGGATAAAGCTTTGAAGGAAATGCATAGAAGAAAATGCATCAAAATACCTTACTTCAAACGGAATCGTCTCTGAAAATGTTACCTCAGAATGGCACAACAATTGGATATCCAAGGAACATTATATTTATGTATGAATAATTTGCCATGACATAAGAACAAGAAGGTGGTATAATGTTCCTAGTGATTAAATGTGAATTTTCCAGTGCTATTGCAAGAATCTTTTCTTTATTTATGTAATCGTACTTTGTTGATGCCCTATGGCTAAAATTTCGTGAAATACATTATATTTTCCATAGTTTACATGTTTGTTTCGAGGAAAGGACTACAACTGTCAAATAATAACGCAATAACTTAGGCCCAAGGTATCAGTAGACATATCAAACGAAGATAAGACAAGCGAAAACGGATTTCGATTAATAGGCGCACATCTTACCATAATTTCGGCTTTGTAACCAATACCTACAAAATATTTCAAAACCCTTGATAAGCAGAGCAGATATTTCTTACAAAAAAATGTTAGTTTTCTAATTCTACGCGGCAAATATCATGCAATAATGATGTCAATTATACATTCCCTGTCAATTATACCTCTGAGCTAATGCGATAAACTGTAGTTTAGAGGTCATTGCCCTGGGCAGTAAACTCGGGCAGTAAACTTTTGTTTCCTGCCCGGCCTATCAAATAACATGGCATTTTGACACCGACAGTTTCTTGGTCATAGTTTTACTGACCGGCTCGTGCTGTGCTTAAGACATACCCCGGCATGTAGGAATGCATATAGGTACCTACAAATATGAAATTTATTAATGTTCAGCGCTTTGATTTCGTGGACCCACAGCAGTGCACGTGGTCTACCAAAGAAAGTCGCCAAATACTGGGCGGCCATGGAAATACCTGGCATTGCACCGTTTCGGGGGCTAGCCGGGCGCGTTCTCACGGAGCCGGACACGTGACAGCCGCCAGCAGCGTGCCATCCGTGCCGCGCGATTGTCATCGCGAACCAAATACGACCTCCGGACCGGTCGCGGTTCGCAGCGGCGCGACCACGACAGCGTGCGGTCGTCGGCGCATGGCGTGAGGCCGTCCGACCGACCGCCGGTGCCGTCGGCGCCGCTCAGCCGACCGGCCGTCGACGGGTCCATAAAGGGCCGAGCGGCTCGGCACGGGTCCAGTGCGGCAGGCCGCCAACTCCCGTCACCAGCGGACCAACTGTGGTAACCGGCTACCGCGCCAGCGGCACAGCACCAATCATGATGCCCTGGTGGCTAGTCATGATCTTCCTCAAGTATTCGACCAAGGCGCCCAACAGCTCGTTCGACTACAGCGACCCGAACACGTGGGCCACCTCGTTCCCCATGTGCGGTGGCCCGATGCAGTCCCCGGTGGAGCTCACTGCTGGCCGGGTTGCATTCAGTCGGACGCCCAAGCTTCGATTTGCTCAGGGGCTGAAGGACGGAAAAATTGAAGCTATGAATACCGGACATGAGATCAAGCTGAAGTTGATGCCGAAGGACAGGAATGAGCCGCTGCTGCAGCTCATTTCAAACACCAAGCCCATGAACGGCGTCTACACGTTCGCGCAGATGCATTTCCACTGGGGTCCTGGAGGTCAGCACAGCGGTTCGGAGCACTGCGTCGGACACAAGTACACCGAAGCGGAGGCTCACTTTGTGTTCTTCAACAGCCGCTACGGCGGCTTCAAGGAGGCGGTGCGCCACTTTGACGGTCTGCTGGTGATCGGAGTGATGCTGCGCGGCGCGCAGCAGCCAGGCGGCCTCGCGTTCCCGACGCTAGGTCTGGAGAACAAGCTGGACACCATCGACCTGCCCGGTAACCGACTGACCATGTCGGCCGACCTCACCTACTTCAAGACGCTGCTGCAGCACGCGGTCGGCAACTTCTACAGCTACCACGGCAGCCTGACCACGCCGCCGTGCAACCCGGTCGTCACCTGGATGGTGGCGGCCAAGCCGGTGGATGTGAGCAGCACCTTCCTCGAGCGGCTGAGGACAGAGATCTTCGAGGACGCCGACGGCACCCGGCCTCTGGTCAACAACTGCAGGCCAACGCAGGGCCGAAACGGACGCACCATCACCAAGCACATCAGCATCGGATAAGGCCGCAAGTCATTCAGCGGCGAACGGACTTTTGTGAGCTGTGTTATGTGCAATGGCTGGACCAAGTGCCTGAGACGCTTTCGGCAGGCGTCGGGACTGAAGTATTCTCATTCGCTCGTTCGATTTGCTGGTCAAATCCGCCGAGGGATCTGCATGATGGCTCGTCTCACTGCCTGTGTATGCTGGCGTACACAGGTGCAGTGCGGGTCAGCGTGTGTGTATAGAAATACATAGCTCACGGGCTGGCATTGTAGTGTTGTGAATATATCGGCGACCGCTGTGGAGCGCGCCACATCCTGTTCATGTTATTGTGTACAAATAGTATTAGTGTCGATGATGCCACTGCTAATGTCAACATTGTTTGATGAAGGTGACACTGCTGGTTGGGTAGTTTTTGAATTATGCATAGAAGTTACCTGCGATTGAATAGATTCATGAATGTTTCCGATGAGTTTAAAAACTATTCCATTTATCTGCCAACAGACAGACACATCTCTCGGAGCGAGCAAAACAAATTAAGTTGAAAACAGCTGATAATTTGGTGGATTCATTAGCATTATGGCACCATAGCATTATGGCTTGAACACACTTCCCTTGCCCGAAAATAAGTTGTGCAATAGTTTATAAATACAAACACAATTACACGAAAACGGTTGACGACAACAGCATCGATGTGCTTTGTTCGCCGTGCGTTATAGCTCTCAGGCTCGAAAGACGGCAATTAATCTTACAGGAAAATAATAGCAATTTAAAGCAAAGTATCAGCAAAGAGTGTTATTATCAGCCATAGTCGGACGAATATTTTGATTATCCCGCGCCGCGCTGGTGGCCTGAACTTTCCGCCGGGTGCTGGGGGAAGGGGGGCGTTTTCACGCTTCCCCCCCCCGTCTAACTCGGCTCCTGGGCCACGCAGCGACACGCAGAGCGGCAATCGAAGGAGCGTCAAAAATAAGGAAGAAAACACTCCGGTCATTTTAAGGTCAGATCACCAGAGGTCATCAAAGGTCAAATTAAGTCCATTTCAATAATTTTGGAAACTGCCAACAGCTAACTCGGGAACCAATTGAGCAACAGCGCCTCGGAAAAGCGCATTCGATAGCCTTTTTACAGACCTTTCTGTGTAACGTTCTCAGATTTGACCTCAGGTCATTGGTTTAGCCTCTAGAGGGCAACAACTAAAAATAGCCGTTTTCACGAAAAATGTTTTTCGGCCATACCTTTTGACTCAAGAGAGCCACGACATCACTTTTAGCAGCATCGTGTTCCTCTCGTCAAGACGCGTCGAATTATTTGCTGACCTTGAAGGGTCATTTTGAAAATTTGACCTCAGATCAAGGTCATGACCTGACCAGAAGGGGTCATGTTGCATATCAGTCGATCCGTATCGTCAAGGTGAACACATTTGACGCGTTTCACCGCTCTAGCACGTCTCTATCAAAAGTTATAGCAAAAAAAAAAACTACTCGTGACCGTTCATGACCTGAGAGGACCTCAGGGGCATACACAGGGGTCACAGGTGCATTTTTCCGATTCAGTGTGTCATGTTTACGTATGAACTGATGTGTGAGAGCGATTTGAACCACATTCGTCCAAAAGAGGCGCATTTCAATTTTGTCCCATTGACTTGTTAATAGAGAGGTTGCAAAACTGACCTGACCTTAGGTCACATATATTAAAAAATCCGAGATATACATTTTATACATACTGGTACTCATATCAATCGCTGAAAGTTTCAAAGTGATCGTTCAGTCGGTGTAGCTAAAGCGAGCCTTTGACCTTTTTCTGATATAAGGTCACTTGACGTGACCTGGTGATCTGACCTTGAAGGTCCCGGGTCTGAAACTTTCACAACATGTGGGGAAATGATGTATGAACAGGTGTACCAAAAACAGCGGCGCGCAGCGCCCCGGTGTTTGAGATATTCGCGAAAAACCCGGGTGGGGGCAAAAAATGCCCCCCTTTCCCCAGCACAGCGCGGGTTTTAATAGTTTGATATAGGTCATCCATTATCTCAGCGTGGTACCGTAAACCCTACCTAATTTTAAATGGCAATGCTAACTATGGAATTATATTCAAATGGATGAGCCTATATAATGAACTTTCAATCCTAGGGTCATAAAATGTTTTGTAGATGGTGACGCATAGCGGGTTCTACAGACGTTCCAGCTTTAAGCAGTCAAAGAACTAGCAGATTTCGTCGGGCCAGGCCAAATGCCTACTAATATTTTCCCGCAGTAGACAGACGCAGAAGGTATATTGAAAAGGCTCGCTTCACGCTCGCTCGTAATGAAAGCGCTCTCCGACCCAATTAACTTGTTTAACCCGCGCCTCAGTGGCGGTCTCAGCCATCTTCGCCCTAGTGGGGGGGGGGGGGGGGAGGGGGCATATGTTACCACCCACCTCTAACTCAAAAACTAAGAGGGCTAGAAAGACGCGGTAAAAAGCAGTCGATGATGCGTACGTTTGAAAGTATTTCAGTCATTTTTAATCTTAGAGCAATATTGGGGTCACCAGAGGTCATCAAAGGTCAAAATTTTCGAATTGTCATTATATTTTTCAGAAAACATGCCATTATCTCAGGAACTATGATAGCTAGAAAAACGCATGGAAAAGCAATCGATGGCTTTTGAACTCTTCTTTTGATAAGGTCATTATAAAAAATGACCTCAGGTCAACGGTTTAGCCTCCAGAGGGCAAAAACTCCCAAAATAGCTGTTTTTACGAAAAGTGTTTTTCGACAATAACTTTTGACTAAAAAAAACACGACATTTCTATTGCCAGAATCGTGTTTCTCTCGCCGAGACGCGTCGAATGAATTTGACCTTGAAAGGTCAACTTGAAAATTTGACCTCAGGTCAAGGTCATGACCTGACCGGAAAAGGTCATGTTGCATATCAGTCGATGCATCTCGGCAAGACAAACACAAGAGTCCATCCCCAGCGTTCTATCTCTTTCCAATCGAGAGTTATTGGCAAAAATATGTTTGTAGCCTCAAATGACCTCGGATGACCTATCTAGAGGCTATCAGCAAAAAATGAGACACCTTGATCGTCACGGGTGGTCCAAATCATTGTGATTCTGAAATAGTTGGACTGTTCTTATGCGTACACACGGGTCTAGAGGCATTTTCGTTTTTCTCCATTGACTTATAATGGAAAGGTCACGGCACTGGCCTGACATTAGGTCACGGATATAAAAAAAAATCCGAGAGATACAAATTATAGGCGCCCATAACATCATGCAATCCACCAAGTTTAAAACCTCTCTGACAAACACAGCAGGCTGGACATGATTGCAAACTTTTTTAGGCTTGTTCAGTTAACTTGACCTGGTGACCTGACCTGACATGACTTGGGGTCAAAAATTTTCACACATTGGATCCAAAATTGATGTAGAGAAAGCTACTCCAAGCAGCGTAGCGCCGCGGTTTTTTATTCACACGCAAAAAACGCGACAGGGTGGTTAGATATGCCCCCCCCCCCCCCGCTGGGGTGAAGGTTAACCCATGCCCCGCTGGGGCTCATGAATATCCAGGCTATACTGGATACACCCCAGTAACACTGTTTGAACACCCCCTCGGCCCTCACCCTTCTAACTCGGCTCCTGGGCCATGCAGCACAATGCCGTAGGCGGCATTCGAATTTCGAAAGAGCGTAAAAATGTAACGAAGTTACTTCGTTATTATTTTTTACCTATTAGGTCAGGTCAAAGATCAGGTCAGCCCAGGTCAAGATCCAATTTCAACTATTTCGACAATTTTTTTCTTCAGAAATCGGTTGTTATACGCTAGTACCAAGTTCATACAAGGTATAGGTAGTCGTATACCTTACATAAAACACATAATAGTACCCTCATCAAACCTCTGACAGTTTAAAAACGATCCGTCAGTCGGTGTGGCTACGGCAAGCAAGCATTACAACAGGGCCTCGGCTAACATGTTAACTGGTGGGCCAAATGGCCCACCAGTGACCCGAAATGGCCCACCAGCTTCAAAGATTTGGCCCACCAGTAAATTTCCGAAAAATCTAAGTTTTCACATTTTTCACATTTCAAATTGAATTAGCAGATCTTATCCTATCGTACATTTTCAGGCTGTAAAGTACCCATCGGTGAAACATATTGTGAAAAAAATCAACCTATTGTTTGCAATATCCTCTTGGGGTAAAAAGTGGACTATAGTGGAGTGGACCCGCAACTTTAAAAAAATCCACCACCTACGTCTTTGCTGTATGTCCGGTGTGCTCAACCGGACACCACCGGACATGGAACGGATATTAACGGATAACAAACGGACGTCCAACGGAAACAAACGGACATCACCGGACGCTGACAGCTCCAGGGGCGGAGCTTCCTATACAGTTGATGGGGCGGCTGCCCCACCAACTTGGTATTTTGCCCCACCAATAAGTGTTTTGCCCCACCAACTTTAGCTGATTTCTAAGACTTTGTTGCTTTGCAAATTAATCTTTTTTTCGCATTGAATAGCTTTGGAACGTCTGGTTGATGCAAAATGATATGTCTGTAATGATAGGAATTGATTCAATGTGGCATTTTATTCAACTTTATAATCGGACATTGTGGGTTTGACGACTTTTTGCCCCACCAACTTCCCTGGAGAAGCTCCACCCATGGACAGTTCTCGTCCGTTTCTCGTCCGTTGGTCCAATCCGGTGAAGTGTGACCGAAGCTTTAAATTTTATGCAATAATCGTGAAAGACGTCTGCCTCTGTCAATGACAGATAGCGGCTTCCAGGCGATCGAGGTCTGCGAGTGAGTTCTTGCAAGCTTTCCGCTCGATCGAGTGGTTGCAGTCACATAAGCATCTGCCGCAGACCAGTCGGTTACAAGAAAAACTACGAATAAAGAACAGACCAGTTCAGACGGTCGGGGATAAGCCTGCGAGCGATCTCAGACGGCTCGCCGATAGACACGATATAAGCCAGAGTCAAACTAGAGGTAGTGTCGGTGACTTCCAGCAGATTGAAGTCTGCAAGCGATAT